GGTGAGGGTGAGAGGGGTATTAGAGATGCTGCCCTTGGAGATCTTAAGTCTGGGGTTAAGCTGTGGAAAGAGAAGACCCATCGATGCCCATGGGGACTTCAGATTCCTTCACTTGGATCCCAAACCCCTGCGAGGAAGACCCACAATAATGGGAGTGGAGCCAGTGTATATTTGGGAATACCGTTTATCCCTAGCGCTGCCTAAAGGAGGTTGGGAAGTGACTCCCCTGCCTCACGCCCTGATTCCACCCTTAGAATCCTGCAGAACTTGCCTTTCTGATTTCCAGAGGCTGCACCCGCAAATTCCTTCCATAGCTCAGCTCTGAGAGGGCTCCCTGTCTCTCGGGTGTTTGAGGAACCAGGAAGAATCACACTTTGCCAAGGCTTCCTGACTGCCTGCCTGGGTGAGGGGGAGGCATGGGAATGGATCCATCCAGGCAGCTCACATTTCCTGAGCTCTGAAGGGCTCCCCAGAGACTGTCCCATTGCAGCCTCAGAATGACTGATGAGAAACTGAGGCTCAGATGGGTGGAGCCCCTTGCCCAGACCACAGAGCTGGGGAGGAGCAGAGACAGGTCTCAGCCCCCCACCCCCAAACCCCCAAGTGGTAAGCTGCACCATCTCTGCCTCCCACTGTGTTAGCACACACTGAGGACTGGCCAGTTAATGCTCTCAGCTGCTAACCGAAAGGTTGGAGGTTTGAGTCCACCCAGAGGCACCTTAAGGGAAAGGCCTGGTGTTCTACTTGTGGAAAATCAGCCATTGACAACCCTGTGGAGCACAGTGCTGCTCTGACACACATACGGTCACTATGAGTTGAAGTCAACTCAATGGAAAAGCCAAACCAAAGACCAGACATGTTACTGTCACGTTGATTCCGACTCATGGCAGTCCCCGTGCGTGTGAGAGTAGAAGTGTGCTCACAGGGTTTCTTGGCTGTAATATTTACAGAAGCAGATTGCTAGGTCTTTCTCCTGCAGCACCACTGGCTGAGTTCGAACCGCCAACCTTTAGGTTAGTAGTCGAGCACAAACCATTTGAGCCACCCAGGGACCTAACTTGATGGCAACTTTTTTTTTTTTTTTTTACTAGTGGGGTCAGGCTGGGTATCCAGCTTGCAGCCATCTGCAGTGTCCCCCAGGAGCAACTCCTACGGCCCCACCCTCTGCCTCTGAGTCTGACCCCAGAACGGGATTAAGCTAGGGAATGACTGATTCTGTCACATCTTTGCGAACAGTAAGCAGCTGGGACTGAACTCAGATGACCACTTCCTGGGTCCCAGGGAGTCCTGTTAAGGGGCTGGGTGTCTTAGCATGTCAGGTGACCTTTCAAGGTGATGATAGGTAGGTAGGTAGATAGAATGAAACAAAAGGAAGTAAAGAAGATAAGGAAGGAAGGAAGAGAGGGAGGAAGGGAGGAAAGAAGGAAAGGAAAAAAGAAAGAAAATTTCCTCAAATGGGATCTAACTTCATCCCCAGAGCATGCTGAGAGGCATCCTCTGTGCTGCTCGTGGGCTTAGAAATAGGAGAAACTGTTCTGAGGCTGGCTAGCATGCTCACTGAGATTCAGAGCCTTAAATATCTACTACTCTTTGACCTGGTGACTCACAGGAATTTCTCCTATGGGAATAATCACAGAGATGTGTTGATTTAGCCTTAAGGATGTTCATTATGTTGCGATTACAATAGTGAAAAAGAATCAGCGACCTAAATGTCAACACTTGGGGACTGCTTAGATGGAGGATGTTGTGTCCATGCAGTGGAATACTCTCCGGCCATTAAAGACGATGCTGTAGATGAATATTTTTGACCCAGGGAAGAAAATTCTAGATAGGTCCATGCCAGAATGTTGTGTTTGGGTGATGAGTTATTTTCCAATGTTATTCTTTGTGCTTTTCTATAATTTCAAAATGTTTTACAAGGAACGTGTATTATTTTGATAATTGAAAAAGAAAAGGATTCTACAGGCGGTGGAATTGGGGGTGTTTGGATAGTGACTGTTACCGTGGCTGTTGTTAGTTGGTGTTGAGTCAGCGCCGACTCATGGTGACCCCACGGACAACAGAAAGAAATGTTGCCCTGTCCTGCGCCATCTTCATGATCACTGGTGTGCTCAAGTCCATTGTTGAAGCCACTGTGTATTTTGAGTCCCTTCCAACCTAGGGGGCTCATCTTCAAGCACCCTATCGGACAGTATTCTGTTGTGATCCATAGGGTTTCCATTGGCTAATTTTCAGAAGTAAACCACCAGGCCTTTCCTCCTAGTCTGTCTTAGTCTGGAAGCTCTGCTGACACCTGTCCCCCATGGGTGACCCTGCTGGTATTTGAAATACCTGTGGCAGAGCTACCAGCATCACAGCAACACACATGACACCACAGTGTGACAAAATGACAGGTGATGGGGCAGCTGTTATTAGGGTCTGTGAGTGTGGCTGTCGCCCAAAGGTGACTGAGGGATTTATTCTGAGTTCCCACGTTTGCATACACCTTGGTCACAGCATTCCCTTGAATGCCGTGGAGTACACGAGTATCTCCAAAGGGTGAGAGAAAGAGAATGGGAAAGGAGGCAGGCATTTATGAGGCATTTCCTGAGTGTCAGGCCCTGTGCTAAGAGCTGTCTCGTGGGTCATCTCACTTGGCTTCAGTGCCCCTGGGGTGATCACCGTTTCCTCCCTGGATCCTTGGAACTTCTCTATGCTGCAGAGAGGGAGGTGACAGCCCTGAGCTCACACAGCAAGGGGCTTATTCCTTAGCTTGCTCAACTAAGGATGGTCCCATAGAAGCTGAGAAGAGGCGTGCTCCCCAGTCTCTGCGGGGAGCATAAACTGCTGAGAAACACTCACTCTGCCTCCACTAAGCACCTACTGTATGCCAGGGAGGCTCCGTGTGGGGAGCAGAGACGATGGAGCGTCCCCACATTAAAGGATCCATCAGATGTGTTACAAGATCCCAGGGCTGTGTCTGTGTTATACTCCCCACCCCTGGTTCCTCAGTGCCTGGCACATAGTAGGTGCTCAGTGAATATTTGTTGACCGAATAATTTATATGTCAGACTTTACATGGTACAACTGACGAGCTGTCTAGAGTAGGCAGGAGGAGTTCAGGGAAATGAGAGATCACTTGGGCTGGAGTGGCTTTGGGTGGGAAGGATGGATAGGAAGGGGGAACAGCACGGCAAAGGCCCAGAGTCTGGGAATGTGTGAGGCTCGTGTGGGAGATGGTGAGTAGGTCAGGGACGGTGGGACAGAGGGTTTATTTGGGGCAGGAGTGGGAGATGGAACTGGACTGGAAATTTGGAGCTCGATTGTAATGGGCCTTGGATTTCAGCAGGAGGGCAATAGGGAGCCATTGAAGGTTTTTGAGCAGGAGACGAGTGATTTGGGACACATTCCAGCTATGCTCCTGGCCATAAATGGAACACAAGGAGTGAAGATGCTCCGTGTTGCTGTTTCTGGAATTGGGAGCCAGGTCGTCCTCACCCCCTCCTCCCCGCCACATCCCGTATCCATGGGCCCCCAGCAAGGTTCCCCTCTAAAACATGGTGACTGGGAACATCATTTAAAACTCAGGCAGCCCAAGCCCTTTGAATCATCACCGTGTCAGTGGCCCATGGAATTGGGCTTCTGGTTTTGCCTTGAGTCCTCCAGCTCCTCCCCACTCAAAATAAAGGCCTAAGTGGTGGCCGGTTCCATAGTTATGTCACAGAAAATGGGCTTTTAATTCGCTGAGCAGATGAGCGTTAGGGAAGCCAGCTGATCGGTCATTCAATGGAGATTTATGGGCTGCCCGTGGTGAGCCAGGCGCTAGGCTCAGCCCTGTGGTCAGTAATGTGGTAACCACAAGGATGCTTGTTCCCTGCTGACCCTTTGGAGTGCTTAGGGCCAGGCGGGACCCATAACTGGCAAGGTAATAAGAGCACAGAAGGGTCAATGCCGCACGGGGCCCAGGGGTCCCCAGTGAGGACTTGGGGTCCACGGCCACTGCCTTAGTTTGAATTCCACTCACCATTGACTGGCTGTTTGATTTGGGGCAGTCACTTCACCTGTCCAGGGCCTCAGTTTTCTCATCTGTACAATGGGGATGGTAGTCAGATTCACCTCATAGGAGTTCAGCAAGGTGATCGATGTTATCGGCATAGCTTGATGCCTGGCACAAGTTAAATGCTCCAGGGGTGTTCGTGGTGCTGATGGGGGAAGCATGGTGGCGGGAATATTAGAGAGGGGGGCTGAACCAGACCGAGACTAGGGAGCAGTGACAACTGAGACAAGTTTTCCCCAGCGGTGGTGTGCAGTGGGGAGTGGTGCACTGGGGAGGGGCTGGGTGATGGCAGCAGGGCCCTGGGTGCCAGGGAGGGTGGCCAGTTCATCCCAGTTTGCCCAGTTTTCATATTGAAAAGTCCCACATCCCATGAAGCCCCTCAGTCTTGGGCAAACCAGAATGGTTGCCTACCCCAGTGCCCAGCCAAGACATTTTCACCCACCTAAGTGGAAACCCTAGTGGCATGTGGTTAAGAGTTTGGCTGCTAACCAAAAGGTCAGCAGTTCGAATCTACCAGGCGCTCCTTGGAAACCCTATGGGGCAGTTCTACTCTGTCCTATAGGGTTGCTATGAGTCGAGTTGACTCAACGGCAATAGGTTTGGTTTTTTGGTTTTTATGAGGACAGAGGAGCTTGGGTGGCACAAGCAGTTTGTGTTCGACTACTAACGTAAAGGTTGCTGGTTCAAACCCACCCAGTGGCATTGTGGAAGAAAGTCCTGGCAATCTGCTTCCATAAAGATTCCAGCCAAGAAAACCCTGTGGAGCAGTTCTACCCTGTACCACATGGGGTTGCCACGAGTCAGAACCGACTCTGCAGCAACAGGTTTGGTTGTTTTTGGGTCTGAGGACAATGGGGAGCTGGGGCAGGTTTGAACAGGGGTGATGCAGTGTGATTTGTGTTAGCTGCTATGATGTTCTGAGCGCTTCCCCCACAGAAACCTCTCATCTGGTTTGTCTCTTCAGGACCAGCTGAAGCAGTGTTTTTCCAGGCGGCCGCCCGAGGCCAAGGACACCGACACCCTCGTTCAGGAGACCAACAGCCAGTATGGGACGTGGACGGAGCAGTGCCAGAGTGGGGAGAGGTAGGGCAGGTGGGCGGGCTCCCCCTACGGGAGGGGTGTCTACGCGGGGCCAGGCAGCCCACTCACAGCCTGATTTCAGTGCCGCCCACCCAACCGCCTGATTTCTGTATTATTAGAATGCCTGTAATTATAAGAGCACATGATTCTTGTTGTAAAAAGACATTTAGAAAGTACAAAAAAAAAAATTACAAAGAAAATGAATGAAAAGCCGCTCTAATCCCAGCATGCAGACATAACCCGCAGTAGTGTTCTTGTTACATGTCTGTTATATGTTAGACTTTTTTCTATGTATCACTGTGTGTGTGTGTGTGTTTATGTATGTATATGTGTGGTATATATATCTATATTGATATATTTACACCTGTCTATCTAGCTAGTTAGATAGTTAGCTAGATAGGTATAGATATATCGATATAGATGTATCTATATCTCGTAATTTGTGGTAGGCGTGTTCTGTAAAGTCCCCACAAACACTGGCATAACAAATACCTTTCTACCTCAGCTGGGAAGTTTTTACCATTGCGCGCATGCAAAATCTCCTTTAGTATTTTTAGCAAATGGACAAAGCAAATACTGAATCCATGAATAATGAAGATTGAGTATATATTTATATATATATATATATATATAGGAACATATTATACATATTGCTTTATAAACTATATCTGTATATAACATTGCCACTGTAAAATGGCTTATAGGGCCTTCAAATGTCAGCCTGGCTAGGAGGGGCCATTACTGCTATGGCAGAAGCCTGAAGGTTATTGAGTGTCACCTGGATCCAGGAGGCAGGCAGGTCGGGGTTCAAATCCCAGCTTCACCCTAACTGGCTGTAGGACCGTGGGTAAATTACTTAGATGTTCAAATTTTATTTTTCCCCTCCATAGAAGGGGAATAACGCTTATTTAAAAAAAAAAAAAAGTTGCTGTCGAGTCAATTCCAACTCATGGCAACCCCATGTATGTCAGAGTAGAACCAAGCTCCATAGGGTTTTGAAGGCTGATTTTTCAGAAATACATTGCCAGACCTTTCTTCTGAAGCGCCTCTGGGTGAACTGGAATCTCCAACTTGTGGTTCACACTCAAGCACATTAACTGTTTGCACCACCCTGGGACTCCGCTTATAGAAATAGCCAGTGTTCATTGAACATCTATACCCGGCACTGTTCTAAGCAATTAAATGTGTTAATTCATTTAATCTCATTACCCCATTTTGCAAAGAAGAAAGCTGAGGTACCCCACCGCGTGGGGTTGTTGGGAGGATAACAGTGTGGCAGTTATCATAGTTCCTGGCACATAGAACTTTCATTGTATCTGTTATTATTTCTAAAATACCATTTTCCTTCTCCCTCTTGGGTGGGATTGAGCAGAGTGGTGGCTTTGTGGACATCTGGAATACCTGCTCTTCTGAGCGGGTGAAGTTGGCCTTCTCCAGCCATGGCTGCAGGTCACACAGTGTCAAAGCCAACTGCGTCGCTGTGTGACTCAGTTTCCCCATCTGTGGGTATTATGCCCAGTGGAGGAAACTGAAGTTCAGAGAGAGGCAGGGACTGCCCACTATGTCCGTGACTGTGCTGGACTTGAACCCAGGTCTCCTGCCCCAAGTTTGGAGTGATCTTACCCCTCCACGGGTATGTCCCATAGCAATAGCTGATGTTGAAGTGGGGCTGCAGCTGATAGAATTGAAAATGGGTCAGAAAAAGGGAAGCAGAAGTTTCTGATAGTGCTTGGGAAAGCTGCTTTTTTTTTTTTTCTTTTACTACCCTGTGAAAATGTGTTTAGTTAATGAGCAAAGAGCACTTGGCTGCTAACCAAAAGGTCAGCAGTTCAAACCTACCAGCGACTCTGTGGCACAAACACCTGGCAATCTGCTCCTGTAAATATTTACAGCTTTGGAAACCCTATGGGGCAATTCTACTCTGTCCGATAGGGTCACTATGAGTCAGAATCGACTTGATGGCCCTTAACAACAAGATAAAGGGAAGCAGAGGTTTCTGATAGTGCCCAGGAAAGTTTTTTTTTTTTTTCCTGTGGGAAGAGCGAGGTGGTGGCTAACCTGTGAAATGTACTTAGTTAATGAGCTTACCATATTTCACTAGAAGGCCCTTGCAAGAGCCCTGAGCTGGAATCCTGAAAACCTGGATCTCGGTTTTGCCCATCTAACCATGTGACCCTGGGGAGGCCCCTTCCTTTCTCCTGGCCTCAGTTCCCCAGCTTTTACAGAAGGGTTGAGACCTGCCCGCTAGGATCTGTGATCCTCCCCACACCCCGCCCCATGGGCGCCCCCTGCTGTCTCCGGGAAGCACTGCAGCCTCCCCTTCCAAACCTAAGGAGGGTCTGTGCTCCCAGCTGTGGGGCGGTGGTGCCATCTGCTGCCTCTGCGGCGGTATCGCCCACAGTTGTGGCTGGATTAGATTCAGTTTCATCCCATAACCCCAACATACTACATACTCCAAGCAATAAAATTATCCCAGAGCTGACCAAAAATGTGATTGCAGTTCCACAGTGCAACACGCCACTATGCCTGAGTGGAAGGTCCTGCTTGAGGGTGCAGCTTGGGGGCATCTCAGGACAGATCCACCTGATAGAGACCCTGCCCTTGCTCAGGGTAAGGGTGTCCTATGTCCTGGATGCTGGGCTTTTACATGTGTTTCTTGTTTTGATTTGTTTTTTCAAGTGTGTGTTTGTGGGAGGGGCAGGTAATGGCTTGATTTATTTATAAATTTTCTATATTATGTGGTTTCATTTACCTAAACAAAAAAAAAAACAGTTGCCATTGAGTCAGTTCTGACTCATGGCAGCCCCATGTGTGTCAGAGTAGAACTGTGCTCCACAGGATTTTCAGTGGCTGATGTTTTGGAAGTAGATCTCCAGGCCTTTCTTCTGAGGTACCTCTGGGTAGATTCAAACCTTCAAGCTTTCAGTTAGCAGCCAAGCACGTTAACCATTTGACTACCCAGAGACTTCTCAGTTACCTAAAACCTGTTGCCATTAAGTTGATTCCAGCTCATAGCAACCTAAATATGTTATCAGGGCGAGAGATTCCAGAGGTAGGACAGAAGCAAAGATGTGGATTCTAGAGTCAGACTACGTGGGTTTAATTCTAGTTCTGCCCCTTTGGGCAAGCTGCTTTACATTTCTGTGCATCAGTTTCCCTTCAACGAGGTTAATATTTAATTTCATGAGGTTAATCCTACCTCATAGGATGTCAGAGAGGATTAAATGATGTGATTTTTAGCACAGTGCCTGGCACATAGTATGTGCTCAGTAAATCCTTATTGAATGAATGAGTGAATGAAACACTGCAGAAGATCCTCCACCCCCTGCTCTTCCACAGGTAACTGCTGGTAATCACTTGCCCAACAGAAATACAACGTGAGCTGCAAATGGGAGACAAGGTGTAATTTAGAATGTTCTAGAGGGCGGTAGTGTTTCAGTGATAGAATTCTCGCCTTCCATGAGGGAGGCTTGGGTTTGACTTCTGGCCACTGTACCTCATGCACAACCACCACCCATCTGTCAGTGGAGACTCGCCTGTTGCTATGATGCTGAACAAGTGTCAGTGGAGCGTCCCGACTAAGAAAGACTGGGAGGAAAGGCCTGGCTATCTACTTACAAATATCAGCCAGTGTAAACCCTATGGATCACAAAGGTCTGATCTGCAACTGATCATGGAGATGGTGCAGGACCAGGCATCGTTTTGTTCCGGTGTGCATGGGATCACTTTGAGTCAGGGGCTGACTCAGTAGCAGCTAACAACAATAACAACATAGAAAGAATTTTTTTAAAAGGTGAAATTAATTTTCACAATATATTTTATGGAGCCTAATAAATTCAAAATATCATTTTAACATGTATTCAGTATAAATCAATATAAAACGTTGTTAATGTGCTATTCACATCCTTTTTCCATTAAAGTTTTGGAAATCCGGTGTGTGCTTTACCCTCATGGCACATCTTGACTCACACTAGCCACACCGTGAGGGCTCAATAGCCACATGTGGCAAATGGCTCCGGATGCGGACAGCACAGGGTTAGGGGCTTTTTGAGCGGGACGAGACTGATCCTTTGTTGTTCCCTGGAGTAGACAACACACCCCGCGCTGTACTTTCTGTTCTCTGAAATTCCGTTCTCTGAAGCAGGCTCCTGACCGTGTCTCCTTTCCTCCCCTTTCTGCAGCTTGGCCCCAGAGTCCCCGTCCCCAGACAGCAGTGCCGCATCAGCACGGAAACAGCCCTCCAGCAGCCGCTTGTCCTCCCTGTCATCGCAGACGGAGCCCACCTCAGCTGGGGACCTGAACGACAGCTTCAGGGGCCAGCGGAGCAGCAGCGTGGACCGCTCCAGCACAGACCTAGACTCCACCGACAGGATGGAGGGGCCGTCCCTGCTGGACGCCTCCCCAGTGCAGAGGGTGGATGACTTCTCCTTCATTGATGTAAGTTGCTGCTGAAACCAGTCATCTCTCCTAGAGATTGATGGGTCACATTAAATTATATCGTGGAAGGTAATTCTGTTACATTGTGTTAGATAACACTGTGGAACAGCGGCTAGTCTAGTGTTTGGTCAAACCACTGGGAATCATAGTCTAGCCAAGTTGACACATAAAATGAACCCCGTAAAGGTGACTTTCTTTAGGGCCCAAGTTCCAGCATCTCCTGGTGAAATGCCCACTTCAGAGGTAAGATGTGTAAGACAGGGATCCCTGTCATGGGGGCAGAGGCCACCAGCTTGGGATGGGCTAACTTAGGATGGGCCTGGCAGACACCAGCTGTGTGTCTTGGGGCACATGTCTTCACCTCTCTGAGCCTCGGCTTCCTTATCCATTATAACCAGTGTGTTTGGCTCCACAGGCTCAAATATAATCACATGTGTTCAAATTAAACTGGTCCAGCCTTCACCTGCCAGATGAGCAGGAAGTCTGGCCTCTGACCCCTGGGGTGGAGGGGAAGGTCTGTCTGAGCTTTATAATTCCAAGCAGGAAGGGTCTGGAGTTGGTGCAGACCAATTCTGCCGGATGTTCTCACCAAGGTCTTGCTCAGTGGAAGTATCCCTGGTGCCGGAGGATCCAATCTGTCTGTGAGTAGGTAGTGACATTTCCAGGCAGGGAAGCCCCCCGAGCCATGGGCCCCCCGTATGTGTTCCCAGGGCAGCCCCTAGAACTGAGTTCTTCTGGTTCCCAAACACAGCCACCCTCCTGGATGTCAGCTACCTAGGAGCCCAGGTTGAGCTGCCTTGTGCTCCAGCCCCTTACAGACCAGAACTTGTCCTTTCCCTGCTGGGGGCCACACCTCCCAGGGTCAGGCAGAGCTTCCTTTATAACCTGGAAACACAGGGACCTCATGACCCTGCTTCCCTGACAATAGGGCCACCTACCCACCCTCCTGAGGACCCAACAAGGGACCCTCTCCTGGCATAAAGCCCTGTGCCCACACTCTAAGATTCCCTCCAGGGGAGGAACCACCCCCTTGTTGGGAAAGGGGATATCTTAGGGTTCTCTAGGGAACCATACAATTGTAGGGGCTGACAAGTCCCAGATCCACAGGTCAGCTGGCAGGCTGGAGACTTCTACAGGCTCAAGCCCCAAGATCTCTAGGTCATGTGACAGAAGAGTGCAGAGCTGAGAAAGAGAACAAGTTCTGCCAAAATACTTATTTACAGTCTGGGAAAGGGAGCCCTGGTGGCGCAGTGGTTAAGCTCTCAGCTGCTAACCCAAAGGTCAGGCAGTTTGAACCCACCAGCCACTCCAAAGGAGAAAGATGGGACAGTCTGCTTCCGTAAAGATTTACAGCCTTGGAAACCCTATGGGGCAGTTCTACTTTGACCTATGGGGTCACTAGGAGTCGGAATCGACGGCCACAGGGTTTTTGGTTTTGGTTTTTATAGTCTGGGGACAGACTGCTCCCTAAGGAAACTCCCCTTTCAACTGATTGATGGATTACGTTAGACTGTATCGTGGAAGGTGATTCTATTACATTGTATTAGATTACGTTACGTGACAGCAGCTAGTGTTTGGCTGAACTGCTGGTCTGGCCAAGTTGACACAAAATGAACCATCGCAGGGGGCTTCTCAGGGCCTCAAAGGACATTCACCTTCCTACGGATTGTCAGGGTCTCTCACTGGCACCTCCAGCTAAAGACAGAGCCAGAGAAAGACACAAGTTCCGTCTTCATCAGGACACCCTGCTGTGTAAACGCAGACGGAGCCATGTCTACCTCTCTGGTTGTTGTAAGGATTTAGTTAGATAAGGTGTTCAGTTATTCGTTCAGCAAACATTCACTGAGTCCCCACTATGTGCTGGGCATTGCTCTAGGTTACGTGCTTGTGTGATGTCACTGTGCTGTCAAATAATTCGCTGGAGTCTCCCCAGAACATTAAGCAGCTCCTTCTCGGTGTCCCTCATGAACAACAGTAGCAGTGTGAACAGCCCCCAGTCACTGAGTGTTGGCCACTGGGCCACATACATGCTAGTAACTCCCAGACACAAAACTCAGCACCCCGTTTTGCAGATAAGGAAGCTGAAGTAGCCATTGAGTGGTTTCAAATGCTGGTGTCCCTAAGCATAGGTTTAGCTGTTTCTTTAACCTACACTAAGGTTTTCCCGGAGTCCCAGGTGGTACAAACAGTGAACACACTCAGCTGCCAACCGAAAAGTTAGAGGTTCGAGTCCACCCAGAGGCACGTTGGAAGGAAGGCCTGGTGATCTACTTCTGATCAGCCATTGAAAACCCTATGGAGCACAGTTTTTCTCTGACACACATGGGGTCACCGTAAGTTTGAATTGACTCCCTGGCAACTGGAAGGTTTGCTTACTGTGATGTGCGTCTTCCATGGGGACTGTTTGGAGGGCGGGGGCTTGAAAGGGAGAAGTGGGGCACTAAGGAATCCAGTCCCTGTTCAGGTTGAGGCTGCAGTGGTGGCCCTGTGGAAACAGAACCACCACCCCCATGTAGGGCTAGTAGGACCCAAGGCGGCCCTTCCATTGGGGTAGTCGGAACTTCCCACTCTCTGAGTCTGGGAAGATGGCTCCCTTGGATTCCCGGAGAAGTGTGCCCTTCTCGTGGGGGTGGCAGGCTCTTCTCATAGGGGTAGCAGACCCAGGCCAGTGCCTCCACTGGACACAGTTGTGACAGATTTGGAAGCAGCTGTGCAAGTATCAGCTCCCTCCCTCGCCCCCACTGGGAGGCCTGTCACGTACCAGCTCTGGGAAATGATTCACTGAAATTAGCTTGTTATCGCTAACTTAAAAGGCCATTGATGATGAAATTTCTCAAAAGTGGCCCTGAGAAGAGACAACAAGCATTTCATGCAAGAGCAGGAGCTTGTCTGGAAGAGAGAAGTATCTGGTCCTCACAGCTCTTGAGTTTGAGCCTTAGTCAGGTAGCATCTGAAACAAGGGCCTCCTGTGCCTGGGCTCACTGAATTCTCCCACCCACCCTGTGAAGGGGGTGCTGTGATTAGCCTCATTTTACATATGGGGACACTGAAGCTCAAAACACTGCTCAAGGTCGTACAGCTAGGATTTGAACTAAGCAGAATTTGAACCCTGAGCTCTGAGCTCTTTGTCACCCTTTCCCGGGAGATTGCTGAGCCGGTTGCTGCCCCATCTCCTCACTGGGACCACCGCTGCCCTCCCAGAGATGGTCTGCACCTGCCGTCCTTTCACTGGGATCTTTGTAAACCATCCCTGACCCGCCACCTGCCTCTGCTCATCATGTGTCCTCCAGGATGATTGAGAATGAATGACTGGTGCTTAGCAGTCTGGTTCCTCCACCCCTCCCACCTACACCATAGATTATTCTGAGTAGAGGAGGGACCTGGGTGAGAGCCTCTGAGCTTGAGGACCCTTTTCTGAATAAACCAGAAACCAGTTCTTGTTGAGTTGGCTCCAACTCATGGTGACCCCATGCATGTCAGAGTAGAACTGTGTTCCCTAGGGTTTTCAGGGCTGATTTTTTGGAATTAGATTGCCAGCCCTTTCTTCCAAGGCACCTCTGGCTAGACATAAACCTCCATCCTTTCAGTTAGTAGCCAAGTGCATTAACCGTTTACATCACCCAGGGACTTCAAAACCAGTTGCTGTTAAGTTGATTCCAACTTGTGGTGACCCCATGTGTGTCAGAGTAGTCATTTCCCTTTATTGTGTGACTACTGTGTGCCAGGCACAGTGATAGGGCACTCAGGTTCATTGGTCCATTTGATCCTTGCAACCAGCCTACATGGCATGTGTCATGGAGAAACTTAGGATATTTAGATAATTCTTAAAATGTGGAAACATCGGCCCATATACCACCTAAATAGCATCTTGTATATCAATGAGGCTACATACACCTTCCTTGGGTGATGCTCTAACTGATGGGTGGTACCCTCAGTTGATGGTCTCCTTGCTTTTTACATTTTCCTCTTCTTCTGTCCCCAAAGCAAACCTCAGTCCTCGATTCAAGTGCCCTAAAGACCCGCGTGCAGCTCAGCAAGAGAAGCCGCCGCCGGGCTCCCATCTCCCACTCCCTTCGGCGCAGCCGACTCAGTGAGTCAGAAAGCAGGTCCCCTTTGGAGGAGGAGGTTGACAGCACATGGATGTTCAAGGACTCAACAGGTATGCCACGCCCTATCTCCTCTACAGGTACCACGACGAACAGCAGGGGGGTTAGGTTAAACACTGCAAAGAACTTCCTGACATTGGAGGCTTTAGGACATGAGAACACAATCATATAAGAAACTATAATTTCCCACTTTGTAGAGATTATCAGAAACTAGGATAAAAAAAATTAAGGGGTGATATATTAATTTGGCCTCTTTGGGTTGAAAGGGACAGAAACACAATAGGATTTTGCTATTTCTGCTTTATATCTTTATTGAATTCATCCTTATACTTTGTTTGCTGGTCTTTTTCTAGATTCTTGAATTGAAAGAGCAGTTAATTTATTATCAGTCTTTTTGTTTTCTAATAAATATTTAAGGCTATACATTTGCCTCTCAAAACTGCTTTGGCTACACTCCATATCAAAATCTAATCTGAACTGAATCTTAAAGAACAGATGGGAATTAGCCAGGGAAGGAAGGATATCCTAGGCAGAATTTTTAACAGGATCAAAGAGGCAGAGGTGTGGAATGACCATTCTGTGTGTTCCAGTGTTGCTTGAGCTGCGAACAGCAGGGACTGTCCTGGAAAGATAGGCAGGGACCAGATCATGGAGAATCTTGGTGGTTTGCCAAGGAGTTGGACTTTATCTGTTAATGATGGAGAGCCATGGAAGAAACAGCAAAATCTTATTCTATGGTTTTAAGAAGAAGCAATTTTTTTTCTTGTAACAGAAACTATAGTAGCTTTCTCCCACTCCATTCTTTTTTTTTTTTTAATTATGGTAGAAAGATACGCAATAAAACATTCACCAACTCGACAATTTCTGTGTGTATAATTCAGTAACATTGATTACATTCTTCATGTTGTGCAATCATTATCGCTATCCTTTTCCAAATTATTCCACCACCATCCACATAAACTCAATGCCCGCTGAGCAAAATCTCCCCCTTTCCTCCTCTTTGCCACCCCTGGTAATCATTAGTAATCTTTGCTTTCTATATATTTGCTTGTTTCATATAAGTAGGATCATACAGTATTTGTCGTTTTGTGATTGACTTATTTCACTTAGCATGATATTGTCAAAGTTCATCCGTATTGCGGCAAGCATCAGGACTTTATTTCTCTTTATAGCTGAGTAATATTCCACAGCCATGTGTATATGCCACATTTTGTTTATCCAGTCATCTGTTGATGGACATTTTGGTTGTTTCCACCTTTTGGCTATTGTGAAAAGTGCTGCAGTGAACATTGCTGTGTGGGTGTCTGTTTGCATTCCTGCTTTCACTTTTGGGTATATACCTAGGACTGGGATTGCTGGGTCACTGCCACCCCACCCTACACAGTCACAGCTTTTAGTGCTCCGAAAGCTCTTGCAGGTGCTTTTCTTTATTTGGGGTTTGCCCCTGGCAGACAGTAGGATGTCAGACCAGGCTGTACACTGGGTGATACCCTAAACCGATGCTTGAAGGGTTATCTCTTCTCTCTCATCCCTCTTCTCCACAAGTCTGGCGTCGGTGCTGCTGTTACTAAAGGAAACATTTAAATCCATGGGTGAGACTACTGTCTGCAAACCTTCTTGGTTTTCTGAGCCAAGTTCAGCTAAGCCCTGCCCTCTGGAGCAAAGGAAGACCAAAGTGGGGAGGAAAGCTTCCCAATACCCCCAACCTGGGATGTGATTGCAGGACTTCTGGGTCCCATCAGCCTGGAGGAGCCAGCCAGGGACTGGGGGAGGCCTGGGGGCTGCACTTGCTGAACATGCCCAGCCCCCTGATTAGCCTGGGGCTCCCGAGGACCAGGCCCTGTTCGTCCCACTGCCTTTTCCTCCGCAGTGCGTAATCCAGTGCCCCCGTCTCAGGGAGGTGGAAACTTCTCCCCCTTCACTCTAGAAGAGTGGGGCCAGGCAGACCACCACCTAGAAGTCTCTTGCTTTGGCAATCTAGCTCGCCCACGAGGCGGGAGCAAGTAATAGGGTTAAGTACTGGAACAGTGAGCTCGGTGCAAAGGAAAGTGGCTTCCTGGTCCCACTTTGGGGCAGCCCTTTGACAAGACACACAGCTCTCCACACACCGCTCGCTTCCAAGAGTGGAACACCAGAGAGCGTTTCTACTTCTTCTGCTGTCTCTGCCAAAGATTTCCCCCTATTTCCCTGACCTGAAATGAGCCAGGAGCCCAGGAGGTAGGTCTCTCTGTGCCCAGCCCAGGAGAAAACCTCATTCTGTAGCAAGTCAATAGCTTCTGGCAAGAGGTGGAGTTGTGAAGTGGAGAGAGCCTGAAGACAGCAGGCCCAGGTTTGTCTGCATCTGTGAAATGGGACGGTAGTGTCTTCTGTGCAGGGCTGTTGTGAGGATTATATGTGAGTAAAGTATCCGACACACAGTAGATCCTCAATAAACGGCTACTGTCAATGACCTCAATGCCCGTTTCTTTGCAACAGAAGAGAAATCCTCCAGAAGAGAAGAGTCGGATGAGGAGGAGAAGCCGCCCAGGGCTGAGAGGACACCCGTCAGCCATCCTCAGAGGATGCCTGTGTTCCCGGGTGTGGATCCAGCAGTGCTCAAGGTACTGAACCGCTCGCCCAGAGCAGATAGCTAGTTAGTTGACATTGAGTTGGCACCCTTCATGGCGACCCCATGTACAACAATGGAACAAAATGCTGCCTGGTCCCGTGCCATCCCCATGATTGGTTGTCCATTGTGATCCATAGGGTTTTCATTGGCTAATTTTTGGAAGTAGATCACTCTGCCATTCTTCCTAGTGTCTTAGTCTGGAAGCTCCACTGAAACCTGTTCAGCATCATAGTAACACGCAAACCTCCACTGAGCATGAGGTGTATTGGCTGGGAATTGAACCCCGGTCTCCTACATGGTAGGCGAGAAAGTTTTACCACTGAACCACCAGTGCCATATATATGTATGCATATATGTATCTGTGGGGAGAGAGAGAGAGAGAGAGAGAGAGAGAGAGAGAGAGTGTGTGTGTGTCTCGCGCGCCTAGGGAAACTCCCTTTGTTTTTGCTCTTAAGCCCTTCAAATGATTGGATCAGGCCCACCCCCAGTATGGAAGGTAATCTGCTTTACTTAAGGTCAACTGATTAATCACCTGTAATTCCCCCTTAACAGCATCTAGACTAGTTCTTGACCAAACAACTGGGCACAATAGCCTAGCCAAGTTGCCACAGAAAATTAACTGGCACACACTCCAAAACTGGGCCAAAATCCACCCTGCCATATTCCTGGGGGAATATCATGGACAGTCAAAGCACTGCATTTTATTTGTGTGGACACAGGAGCAAGTAGCTTAGTATATCTGAACCTCCCTGGTGAGATGGGGCTACACTCTCCATTCCAGGGTTCCCAGGAAGCTAAATGAGATGGTACATCACGTGCCAAGAACACTGCATCTAGTGGGTTTTCAGCCAATGATAACTGCCCCCGTTGTGGTGCAGGTTTTTGGGGCTGTTGTTATTTGCTCTTCTTGGCCAAGGATGGCTGCTTGGGATGTGAGCCCGGCCTCCGGTTTTCCTCGGCCCCTGAGGTCAGGCAATATCCCCTCCAGCTCCCTGTTTTCTGCCTGGGTCCCTTCAGACACTGGGGGTCCCACTGCTTTCCAGGGCCCCCCTTGCAGTGAAGGTACACTGGATGGGCCCGTCCCCAGACAAACGGCATTCACAGACTCGGCTCTCCTCTCTCCTCAGGCTCAGCTGCACAGGCGGCAAGAGGTGGACAGTCCCGGCGAGACCTCCACCCGGGCCCCCCAGCCCAAGACGCCCAAATCCCCCTTCCAGCCTGGCGTGCTGGGCAGCCGTGTCCTGCCATCCAGTGTGGAGAAGGATGACAAGTAAGGGGTCTTGGGGACGAGGGTCCCTCTCCTCCCAAACTCAGGATGTGCTTCTGGGGAATGTGCTGAAATAGGTGTTAGAGCTGATTGGAAGGAGAGTTTCAAACTGCTTTCTTCTCTAGCAGCAACTTTGTTCAAATGAACTGTCGGCACTCTGATACCTGAAACATAAGACAGAGACGGGGAAAGGGGGCCAGGAATCAGGCCAGTTGGCTTCACCTCCATCCTCCCTGTGCCCGTCTGTTCAGAAACCTGGGGCACCATTGTTGGAAAGCTACTGATCTGCTGCAGCACTCTCAAGACTTATGGGGAAACTGAGGCATTCGGACTTGTCTTACCCTCTAGGGAAGTATCTTTGTCTCAGGCGAATCAGAGAGACCCAGGAAGCTGGATGGAAGGGCACAGCCAGGTTGGGCAAGATCAGCTAGTTCAGCTGCCCTCATGGAGCTCCTGCACCATGCCAGGCCCTGGGGTAGGCCTGTGCAACTCAGGTGCCCCATCCCCCTAATAAGGAGGCTTCAGCAGAGGCATCTGAGGGAGACATCTGCTGAAGGCCCCCGATACAGAGGCCTCTGTATGGAGGCACCTGGGCTAGGAACACAGAGATGGGAAGAGTGCAGCCAGCCATGGGGCTGAGTCCTCACCTGCAATGCCCTCCAGAGATGGCAGTGCACGGGCTGGGCACCAGGTCCGCTTGGGGAAGGCAGCTGTCCCCCGAGGCCAGCCAGGAGCCCAAGTCCTCGCCTGCAACGCCCTCCAGAGATGGCAGTGCGCGGGCTGGGCATCAGGTCTGCTTGGGGAAGGCAGCTGTCCCCCGAGGCCGGCCAAGAGCCTAAGTCCTCACCTGCAACACCCTCCAGAGACAGGGAGGATAAAGAAGTGAGGCCAGCTGGCCTGATTCCTGGCCCACTTTCCCTGCCTCTGTTGTAGATATCAGTCTGCAGGAGTTCATTTCAACTGTGTGTGTTATAATTTCTATTTAGTTGTGGTAGGTTTTTCTGGCTGTGTGGTTTTGGGAAATTTTGTCATTTAATATAGGAATATTTCTTTTTGACTATTGTTGAATGTGCACCAGGTCTGTTTGGGCAGCAGCTGTCCCTCAAGTCCAGCCAGGTAGAGCCTTTGTCATTGCCTGTGGTCAGGCCTGAAAGATCACGCTTGGCTTTTTAGCCAGGAGCTGGCCTCCGCAGTTGGGCACTGTGGTTCATTCCCACTTCTGCTAACATGAGCATCTTTGCCACCTGTGCCCTCTGCCTTGGCATTGAGCATGGAGAGGCAGGCACCACTTAGCCCCTGCCCATAGGAGCTCCTGGACTGGCCCAGGCTCGATTCTCTGGATCTGTGGTTTCAGGTCAGAAGAGCCCCCTCCCCAGTGGCTAAAGGAGCTGAAATCCAAGAAGAGGCAAAGTCTGTATGAGAATCAAGCTTAACGAGGTATGAGGGGCTCTGTCGGGGGAGGCCTGGGAAGAGCCCCGTGGCCGGGGATGTGGGAACTTAGGCGGGAGGCAAAGGTGCAGAGACTGATTGTTGTGTCCTAGCAAAGGGAAGCCTGCAGAAAGGGAAAAGGGAGTGTTCTGGGTGCCTGTAAAGAGGAGAGTGGCAGTCTGTTTCCGTTTAGGGGAAACAAAACCAAACCTGGACCACTGGTTGTTGCAGTTAGGTGCTGTCAAGTTGGTTCCGACTCACAGCAACCCTGTGTACAACAGAACGAAACACTGCCTGGTCCTGCACCATCCTCACAATTGTTGCTGTGTTTGAGCCCATGGCTGCAGCCACTGTGTCAGTCCATCTCGTTGAGGGTCTTCCTCTTTTTCACTGACCCTCCACTTTACCAAGCGTGATGTCCTGGTGGCATGCTGGTGGCAAAATGGTTAAGCACTTGACTGCTAATTGAAATGTTGGCAATGCGAACTCACCAGCCGCTCCATGGGAGAAAGATGTAGCAGTCTGCTTCTGTAAAGATTTACAGCCTTGGAAACCCTATGGGGCAGTTCTACTTTGTCCTCTGGGGTCTCTATGAGTCAGAATTGACGGGATGGCAACAGGTTTGGGGCAGCTTGGGGTGGGTGAAGAGGGCCCTATAGGGAGAGTCAGATAACCTGGTCTAGAGTCTCATGCACTTGGCCAGCCCTGCTTGCAGCTCAGTACCCACCTATAAAATGAAAGAGTGGAGATTTCAAAGGTTTTTGGTTTTTAGCTTCACCTATATTGTTCCAAATTTTTACATGGGGAATGTATTTCTGTATAACCTGTGTAATTAAAAATTAATTTGAAAAAAAGATTTAAAAACCTAGTGCATTAGCTATTCCCTGGTTTAGAGCGCAACTGACTTAAATCTTGAACCTCAGTTTTTGTATCTGTAAAATGGGCTGGCAGTGCCCATGTCACCGGGTGGCCCCAAGGACTTGATAAGAATGCACAGCAAGGGTTTGACCAAGTGCTGGGAAGCCCTCGGTGCAGGAGCACACAGCGCAGTGCTCTCAGACAGACACCCACCACCCTCACAAGCCTGGAGCCCAGAGGGCTCTGAAAACAGAGATTTTTCATAACCATTATACCTGGCTGGATATAATGCTATTTATACTCTATTTTTCCTACTTTAGATGAATATTCATACATTACACTGCAGGTATATTAGTGTGCTTGATTATGGGAGTGTTAATAAAATATATGTATCTAATGATATACATATATGTTTATATACATACATACATACATATACACATGTGTAAGTGTATCTCTTTATAAAACCCAGTTGCTGTTGAGTCAGCTTCGACTCATGGGGGTCCCATGTGTTTGAGAATATAACTATGCTCCATAGGGTTTTCAGTGGCTGATTTTTTGGAAGTAGGTGACCAAGTCTTTCTTCCGAGGCACCTCTGGGTGGACTCAAACCTCCAACCTTTTGGTTAGCAGCCAAATGTTTTAACCATGTACACCACTCAGGGACTATAGATATGTATTTATATAAAATAACCTCTGAAAAATTGCAGATTGCCAAACAAAGCTATGCTCAGTGGTTGGGGATAAGGTGTCTCGGACCTGTGTTTAGTCTGTGTTCAGTGCTGTACATGTGATATCTTATTTAAGCCTCCAGCAATCCTTTTGTGGAATGCGAGGCTCAGAACGGGAATTGGAACCCTGATCTGACCCTGAATTTCATGCTCATTCCAATGTGTTGGGCTGTCTGCACCCTCCTCACCCCACCCCTCAAAAAAATTAATCTTTTTCCTGGCCTGTGCCTTATGGGCGTGGCTTTCTTGGGGAAGGTCAGAGGGATTTCAAGGCCTGATCGTGGGGGGAGATGAGGCCACATGTTCCCACTGCTGACACCAGGACTGTCCCTTCCTGTCTAGGTCGTGGACGCCACCCATGCCTAATCAACAGAAGCCTTAACTGTCAGACGCCGAAGACGAGGCCACCCTGTTGCCATCCCTTCCTGCACAATGGTTATGTGCCTGGGCCTTCCTGTGGGTGGAGGATGCTGTCCAGTGTCCCCCTCCCCCCACAGGCCCCCCCTCGGATCAGGAAAGAAAGACAGCTCTCCCACGGCACATCTCTCAGACAGCACTTCAGGCCGAGAACAAAGCCACGCTTCCCAGAAATGTCCATGCTGGTGATTTTGTTTTTTATGCAAACATCTGTGTTTCTACCTACTTTCCACACCTTCAGCAGCTCCAGGAACATCTGTGTGAGGCTGGACCGTTTCTCTGGGTTCTGAAAAGCACCTGAATTCTGACGGCACCTCGTTCCCCCCACCCCAGGACAGGCCTTTCTTGAAAGGACATTTTCAAGGAAGGTAAAATCATTCGTTTTCTGCTATAATCCATGTCAGCACCACTGGATTGGAATTTTCCAGCAAACTCCTTCCCGCCTCACCCCGAAATATCCGCAGTTCCAGCTTCTGAGCACACCCACCCTCCTTCTTTCGAGTATATCTGTCCTCCCAGTGGGGCCGTGTGCATCACAGTTGACCTGTTTCATTGTACGACCCCTTCGTTTGCTTTTGAAGGTGATAAAGCAATAATTCAGCCAATTTGCTTTAAAATTTGATGTGTATGTATGTTTTGATGTTCAAGGACAGGAGAGATGTGTGAATAGTTTGTTTTGAAGCACCCAGTCACCTCAGGTTATCTTATCCCTATCCAAGCTTCTAAAAAATTTGTTTTAATTGTCATCCTTATATATATATTCCTGGCTGCTTTTCATTTGTGCTCTGCTTTCTGTGGGGTGACCTTTGTCCCTTGGCCTCAAGGGTTCACAAACTGTAGACCAGATGTTGGTGCCTCCACCACTCAAACCCCAGCCCAGCCCAGAGAGTCTCTCTCTTTCCGCCGAGCCTTTTTTGAACACTACCTGGGCTGCTGGCAAAGAGGAACCATTCTATATCGGCCTCAGAACAAACGCATACATGAAGGGTGTTTTTTGTTTCTTCCCACCTCTTTGTTCTCCCTCCCCCAACTCCACCCATCAAGTGCTTCTTTGGGTAGGAAGGATCTTGCTGAAAGCCTCTATCAAGAGGGGAGCCCCCCAGGCCAGGGGCTCTGAGCAGAAGTGCTAGATGAAGGGCAATGAATGAATGAAGAAGGATGAGGCTTGCCTTGCTAGCTCTAAGCTCATTCCCAGGAAATGCCAAGCCTCCGGGGGCTCTCTGCTCTGCCCTTCTGTTTGGAAATCCTCAACACCAGCCTCTTCCACCTCTTAGGTCCAAGGCTCCAGCAGACTCCTCAAGCATGCCCGGATGGCCCCCTGCCATGCATGTAGTTGCCACAGACTCTGTGCCAACCTTGCCTGGGAGACCCCCATATGGAGAGAGATGCCCATGCAGTTCACAGGGCAGCCCATGACTGCTGAGGGGCCTTGGGTCTGGGTTCCCTAAAGGATACATGCACAGTACTGGCCAGATACGGATGGTGGGGGCGCATGCCCCTGACTTCCCAAGGGGAAGAGGTCTCTCTTGGTCAATTCCATTATTTACAAATAGTGTCAAGAATGTCCGTCTTCTCCCTGGCCACCTCTCCAAGTCTCCATCTGTCTCCCCATCTCTTCTTTCTGCCTTTTCTCCCTTCCCCACCTCTTCTCTCCCTTGTGAGGTGGAGTGAAGGGTAGATAGCAGTCTTCCTTTTCTCCAGGTTAAGACGAACACTTGTGCCCTGGTGACTGATTGTGACTGAGCATCACAGACAGTGGCCGCAAGGCCCTGTCCACCCTGAGTCCTGTTCGCTGAACTTTGGCTGTGATACCAGTTGGTGGAGCCAGGCCGCGGCTCAGCCTTTTGCAACTGAAGTCCTCATGACTTTCTGAAGCCTAGTTGATCAACTAGGAAGTCTACTTGATTCGTTCTTAGAGTTCAAGTCCATGTTATATAACAGTTTTGATGTGGTGGTTTTTCAGGTCAATGGGATCCCTTTAGAGACCCTCTTCTAGTGTTTCAACCCTGTCTTCTTTTCTTGACTGCTGGCTTTCTTTCCTTCAGATGGGAAGGAACCCTTGTACCATCTCAGGTGTTGTGAAGTGTCTGGCTCTGTTTAATGAATTCATCCATCCTCACCATGGAAACTCTCAATTCTTAATTCATGTTTAGTGTTAATGAATTCATGTCTTCGCCCAAATAGACCTGACACGAAAGAAAAGAAAACCGCTTGAAAATGAGATTAGCCTGGGGGCTGTTTGCCTCACCTCTTGACTGGAAATCAAATCCATTTCATCCTTGGGTGGTTGGGCCATACGAGGTCCAGCCCTTGAAATCTGACTAAGGCAAACCCTGAAGAGTCTCTTCAGCTCCTTTTCTTTTGTGCCGTTTCATTTCCTCCAGCGCCTCAGAGCAGACAAGTCAAGTGGGTCAGGGATGACCCTCTTAATTCCGGCTCCTCATGACTTCTGAATCCCACTTACAGTCAGTGCGGTGATGTTAGAAGTGTCTGTGCCCTGGGAGCCTTTGCAGATACCTGGGCAAACGCATTATGTATTTCTTCTCTTTCTAAACCAGATGAGCTTTTAGGGGCTAAGCTAGAGGTTATATACTAATTTTGTGTGTTTGCCTGGAGCCCCCTTTGGAAATCTATCTCCTTTGAAACTAATTGAATATGCCTTAATTATTTCTGTGCAAATCAAGTCACCTGCCCCCTCCTTTCTCCTCCCCTGGGCCTTTGGTGCCTCTTAGATGGGAATCTTCCCAGAATGCAGATTCCTGTATATGTACAGTCTCCCTGTCTCCTGTTTGCACATCAGCATTTTGACAGCCGGTCTTTAGATAAGTCTGTATCTTTTTCCCCTCCAGTAAGCTCCCTTCTTCACGGTCCCTTGCCTAATGAAACAGAAGCTGTTGGCCTGTGAAATTCCATGGCAAGGCCTCAAAAGAAAAAAAACAGTGTTGTGGAGAATTACTCAATGCTGCCAGAGAAATTCTGGTGAAAGAGAAACGTCATGG